CAGTGAAGCAAGAGGAAGAGGAGGAGGAGGAGGTGGTAATGGGGTCACCGCTCATGCAGATCACGGAATTCCTGAGAGCTCTCCTCCAGGCGAGTGAGGATGGACGCATCATTGTGACTGTAGGATCGACTGCCCGAAAGTCGTCCCTGAAGTATCTCCTCCTTAATCCTGCATCGCACTTCCATGATATTGTTAAGGAATGCAGGTGTGTTGTATGTTGCTTGCTATTAGTCTGAAGGCTTACAGTTGGTAAGTGGATGACTGTTTTGCAAAGGTAGCTATCTAGTATAGTATTTTTCATAGTTTTCACATTTTTCCAAGTATGTATCTAGTTCTTTTACATCTGTTACAGTAAACAAGTAAATAGATAGTAAAGTATTACTTGCTTGTAGATGTTGCTTGAAAGTAATCACACAAAGACATTTGAAGGTGATTCACAGAAACATCTGCCACCAGGTCAGTGATTGTGGCTGGAGGAACGATGCGACCTGTGAGTGAGTTCCGTAACCAGCTCTTCCTCTCAGCTGGAGCCACTCCTGAGAGGATCCATGAATTTTCTTGTGGTCACGTTGTCCCAGGAGAACAAATCATGCCCATAGCTCTGAACGAGGGGCCCACAAATGTCACCTTAGACTTTACCTACCAACACAGAAAAGACCCTAAAATTGTTAGTATCTTTGTGATGAATAATTGAAGCTATTCCTGTTGTAGATATTCTTTTAGAGCATATAATTTTATGCACTAGTAGGGTTTGTATATATTTACTAGAAAAAAAATTACATAATACCTCTATTATAATTTGCACATTTAGTATACTTTCCTGTTTATCACTTTTTGTAGTTAGACGAACTGGGACGTGTTCTTGCTAATATCTGCAATGTTGTACCTGGTGGTCTAGTGTGCTTCCTGCCATCATATGAGTATGAACAGTACATTTACAACCATTTTACCTCAACTGGGATTATAAGCAGATTATCTGCTAAGAAAAAGGTACAGTAATTATTTTGAAGTAGGATTTTTGGTATATATTTATGAATATCAGTTATTTTGTATTATAAATTGAAATTCAGATATATCCACTTAGAGAAAGTAGAAAAATACACCTGAAACATTTATTTCATTCATATATCACATATGTTTGCAGATCTTCAGAGAGCCAAAAAAGTCAAGCCAGCTTGACACCGTTTTAAATGAATATGCGAAAACAGTTCGGTTATCAATCACAAACACTACAGGAATAACAGGCTCACTCCTTTTCAGCGTTGTGGGTCAGTTGACTTTTCCTTTCTAGTTGTTATTATATATTTCATGATTATATATATTTTTTTATGTATTTATTTTGTATTCTTGTATTTAATTTTGTTCTGTTTCTTCTCTTCATTCCTTTGGAACAGTATACTGAACAACCGAACAGTGTTACTTACAAACCCAAAATTGCTTTAAGTGAATATAGCACCTTTATTTTTAAAGAAAATTAATTAGTCCCACACTCCTAATTCTTTCCTTATATGCTCACTTTACATTGACCCATTGATACTGGCTACATCCACTTGCCATTATAGTTTTATTTTACTAAGTAATTTCAGGTACAAGTAAATGGCTCCACAAGTGCTTAGTCATTTGGGAGCCAGCTAGCTACTAGTCTTACATGACCTCACTTGTTTATCCCATTCATAGAATTTTGGAGGGATAAGTATGTGTTTTTGTTACTATTATGATCCTTATTAATTAACTCAGTGATGTCAGGAAAATGTGTTTACTGTGGTATTGTTTTGTGAAATGTCTCTGCACATAGATGGTTCTGCCAGTGCTTAGCCACAAAAGAGTCAATTACTAGACTTTGTGATCTCACCTGATTTCACATTTCCTTGAGTTAGCAGGGAAAAAGCTTTTTATACTAATATTGGTACTTTTATTTTTATTACAGATATCATAATTACTATAGTGTTATTGACATTACTAATGGCAACATTAGATACCAGTAAATATTTTTTAAATCAAGGAATAGGGTAAACAAGTGTGACTGGTAATACTCGTAATTGGCTCATTTGTGGCTTAGTACTTGTGGAGCCATCTATGTGTAAAAATAATTACTAACAAACACAGTTGGCATGGCATGAACTCACATGCTATCCCCAGAGGCATGGGGTTTATGTTGCTATTGCTATCACTATTATTTTATAATGTTAGTAACAGACATAATGGTTATAAGAAATCCCTGAACATTCAATACATGGTGTAAATGGGTGAGGCTATTTATGTACATAGCTATCTTTGTAAAAAAAAAAAAAAAAAAAAAAAAAAAAAAAATCTTGACTCTTGAACGTGAACAATGAATGTATGTGTAAGCAATGCCAGAATCAGTGAGGTCATCTGAAAACTTGTATAGAAAAGATGCTGTATTATGAGAAGTGTCTTTCCTTTTGGTTGCAGGTGGAAAAATGAGTGAAGGTATCAACTTCAGCGACAATCTGGGGCGATGTGTTATCATGGTTGGCCTTCCTTATCCTAATACCCATTCACCTGAACTCAAGGAAAAGATGCAATACCTGAACAAGAATGTGGTTAGTCTTATCAATATTTTTAAAATTGTTTTCTGATTTTATTGTGTTTATCATTATTATTATTATTATTATTATTATTATTATAACAATTATTATTATTGTTATTATTGTTATTATCATTAGTTCTGCCAGTCTAAGATCTGATACTTTAGCATCTGATTTTATACTATATATGATTGTATCAGTGTTGCAGTATTCAGGAGCATCCATATTAAAAGTATGATTTGTCTGGAAATCCTTTTATTTAAGATTTCCTTGATTTGTAATAGGTTTATTGTTTACTTTGTATGTGTGTATGTCTGAATCAGAGACCAATTGACTCAAGAACTTACAAATCATTTTCTTGTAACCAGGCTCCAGGGCCAGATGGAAGACCAGCAGGTTCTGTCTTCTATGAAAACCTTTGCTTCAAAGCTGTGAATCAATCCATTGGCCGAGCCATCCGCCACAGGTGAGAACAGATTTTTTTATTTTCATTTTAAAAGGTGAGAGAGATTTATCAGGAGGTTCATGATTGTTTCTCTTATGTAAGAAGAATGATCAAATATCTCTGGCATAAATGGCCAAGATAATTAAGGATAAACTATAGAGAATGAAGCTTTTAAACCCAATAACACCGGGTGAAGAATTTGGCAAGTGGACATGATCCCTGGTTTATTGGTGCACATTGACAGTTTCCTGTTTGCACGCGGGTCTTTCGTTTGTTTGTGGATATCATTAGGCAACTAAAAGTTTGTATTTTGATATAATTTTTAAAAATATAAAGCTTTTGAAAGTTTACCATCACTGTAGGTGCTATTGCCTGTAAGTTTTACCATAGAAATGATGCCACTATTATCGTAAAAAACAAGCTATGTCCAATGAGTTGACAGCATGGAAGGGGTCATGTTTGATGCTACCCACTTTGTCCACAGCAGCCATGACATGTACATATATGCCACCTGGCAAGAAGTGGTTAAGTATTCACAAGGAAAATCAGAAACTTACTGCCATTTGCTTTTGTCAAAAAAAAAAAAAAAAAAAAAAAACACTATGAAAAATAAATAAACTCTAGCGCTAAAATACAAGAATATCTGTACAATATTACATGTAATATTACACTACAATCAGTTATGACATTGTCATGTACCCCTCAATCTAAATAAATCATTAGCTATTATTTTTTGTTTTGAAGAAATGATTATGCTAGCATCCTGCTCTTGGACCATCGGTACAGTCGCCCCTCCTCAGTGCAGGCCTTACCAGAGTGGATATCAAAACATTTAAGAATGTGTCCAAAGTTCGGTCAGGCATTTGGTCTAGTTCGGAAGGTAGGATTAACGAATGTTTTTTTATCTTGATAAAAAAGATGCAAACTTTATATATGAAATTGGATATGATACACTAATGTCATATATTAAAAAAAATGGTTATATTAAATTCTCACACTATAATTTACTTTTTCTCTAGTTCTTTGCAGATAAGAAAACAACAGCCACTTGAGCATAAAATATTTTGTAATAATAGTAATATATATTTTTGTATGAAATTCCATTGCAATAATGTCACAATCTATAGTGCCTTATGCAACTTTATGTATTTCTTTGCCCTTATAAGTTCTTGTATGTATATAAAGTAGAATAAATCCAAATTTCAAAGTATTTATTCAAAATAAACTAATCTTGATATCATATAGTATTAACTCTTTCCCTGCTGATTGAGGTAGTAGTACGGGGAGGTGGACAACAAGGATGCAGAATAGTACTAAGGGAGGAAGAGGTTCAAAATGAAGAAGACTGTGGAGGATGAGGAGATGGTGTGGAGGATGTTAGGAGAGAGAGAAAGGAATGTTTTTTTGAGAAGGTTGGGTAATAACCAGGGTAGGTGCTTTTGAATCGATTGAACTGACAGGAAGTGTCAAGGAGGGAGAAATAGTCTGGTTCAGAGTCATGATCAAAGGAGCCAGGAGTCAGGGAACTAGAAAAATTAATATCATTGGGGCTACTTGATAAAAGGACAAGCCTCAATGACTCCAACAAAAGTACAAGATCATTGTTGGTCATGGTAAACCTGGATTATGTCAGAAAGAGAAATGGTTCACCCCTCAGGGTGAATACCATGCCCATGGTTCCCTGAGGCTGTTCAAGATTGACCCAAACCAGTCATTTATTCTTTCAACACAGCTTTTACATCTTAGGAAGTAGACAGATGGGGTCTGAGAAGAGAAGGGAAATAAAAGCAGAGAGAAAAAGACCAATGGCTGAGGCCCAAGGTAGGGAAGGTCCTCAACATGGTGCCTCAGTCTATCTCCTACCGGCAACAAGAAGCATAGGATTGGAAGGGAGACAGATTACACATATTTTTTAGTCAATAAATATATCTCAACGGCCTTAGCATTATAAAGGAATATCTTATCTTTCTTCAACTGCTAAATTTTGGCTAATAAAAACTACAGTGGATTTATTGATAAATATATTTATCATAGGAAAATAACAATGAGACACTAGTAATAGAGAGATGGTGCATATCAGCTTGACCATGGAAACACTGACACCATGAATATTTGTGTAGACATGACCAATGGGAATGGAATGAAAAATTACAATGAAGCCCTAAAATGAGTGGAAATTCCAGCCCATGCTGACTGCAAAATGATCTTCACCTAATTTATGCAGATTGAGAATTTCAGATGCAGCACTGGGTTACAGTCTTATGAACATTCTGCAGTCGCACATGGGCGTATATATTTTTATCTCTTTCGTCTACTACTTTTATTCCTACAGAAGCCTGGTATATTTACAATGGCATTTCAGGAGGCAACAGATGGTAACAAATATATTTTTAAACATTTCATATTCCTAATTAGCGTTTTATATCTTTTAAATATATAATTCAATAATAACAAGTGATTAGCAAAGTATTTTAAGAATTTACTTTCTCGACTACACAGACAGAGGTTTCTTCCTTGACACTACAAATAGGCTGTTTGGGATTTTTTTATCTTTGCGTTTTTAGGCTACACGACTAATATGCTGTAATGAGTTTAGCAAGACTAAAACTTCTATTTCATGATGGGACAGGAACAGACAAAAGAAAAAAAAATCCTACAGATAGTGGATCAGGTGGGTTTTGTTCTGTACTATAATATGTCTTGGGGATTTCTGCAGGAGACTACATGCTTGCTTTTGCCATTCACACATTAAAATTTCCTGTACATTCGTGACCTATTTAACAAGTACATAGTATAATTTTTTTATTTTTTTTATTTTTTTTTTTCTCTTTTATAAAAAGGGCTTTACAATAATTATGAACACCTGTAAGATCATCTGACAGAATTGTAAAACAAAAACAGAGAGAGAAAAACACTTTCTGTCCCAACTAAAATTGTGCGTGAATAAGCACCATGATCCCACGTATTGGGGTATTTTGTGTCTAGCGATTTTAAACTACAGAGATATTTGGCAGTAGGTCCATCAGTAGTGCACAGTTCTATAACATTTATATAGATTATGAATAAATATAAATTTTATATAACTACCCCAGCTGTAAAACTTTAAATATGCAACAAAAGTTATAAAGAATAATTGAATTTATTTCAAGCAAGAAAAGGTTTATGTGGCTATTTGGGGATTTTCATACTTCTAGAAAAGGAGTTTAATGCTGACAATGCACAAGTATTTTTTTTTTCATTTGAAGCAATATTTTCCACTAACAACTGCCTGCACTCCAAATAGATTCAATGTTGGTAAAATATATACACACATACACATATACACACACATACAAACACACAGACACATACACATATACATGCTTATAACCACATGTGTGAATACTTTCAAATATCTTGATATATAAATATAATTGCATAAAAAACACTAGCATTCAACATGGTTTTACCTCGTGTAAAACCATGCTGACTGCTTGCATTATACAAATCCCAAACAATTTTTCTTACTCTTTGGCTTATTAGTAAACCTAGTGAGAATAAACATTCTTACAAAGATATCAAGAACTTGTATTTTCTTAGTGTAGGTCTTCCTATAAAATAAACATGCATTCATTCTAAATACATACATATAGAAGTTGTGTGTGTGAGTGTATGTGTGTGTGTATATACATATGTACACAGATATGATTACATTTATGACTCTTGATGTATTAATATCACAAACTGTATGAAAAACACTTATATTTAATGTGGTCTTGCACACCTGCATTTGCTTGTGTTATTCAAATCCCAAACTATAAATACTTCCAGTTATTTCACTTAGTTTTTTTTTCCTTATTATTCTTTGGCTTATTTAAATTAAAGTTCATGATTAGTAAACCTAATGAGAATAAACATTCTTACAAAGATATGAAGAACTTGCATTTCCTTAAAGTATGTCTTCCTCTATATAATAAACATGCATTCCATCTATTAGATTCTCTTCTTAAAATACCAAACAAATTTAAACAAATTGTGCTAAAATATGATTGTAGTCGGTGAAGCAATTTTCTCAACTGCTCCTTTGTCTTCTAGCTTTCCCTCAAACCTGATATCACAACCACAAGTGAATGGGAGGATACTTTACTTGTTTACACTGAACATATTTCAATGCTAACTTGCTGTAAAGATTGAATTTATTTATTTACTTTCTTTCATATTTTCGGTTAATCAAATGTTGCCCATTTATTTTCACTAGGCCCATTAGTGTCATTTTTGCTCTCCCCTCTGGAGTCTGTTACTTTATTGTTATTCACTACTGTATTATTGTTGTTCCCAAGAGTCACACCTTTGGACTGGCTATTTACACTAAGTTTTTGGAAGTCCTTGGAAAAATCCCCCAATAAATCCCGCTGTGACAGTCTTGGAGGCCTCTGGGGCTGGGTGGAAGTGACTGCAGCCTTGTTAGGTTGAGCCAGAGGGGGTTCAAACTGCACATACTGGCCTGGTCTGGTTGCAGCAGCTGTCACTGGTTGGTTGTCTGAACTCCCTGACAACATGCTGGATGCAAATGCTGCTGCTGCACTGCCTCCCCTTGTGGAACTTGGGAGCGAGTTTGCGCTTGGTGGTTTGTGCTGATTGTACATAGGGTTCTGACAGCCAACTGGTGTACCCATGCTAGTCTGAAGGGAAGAGAATGGACGGTACTCTGGCCCCAACCCCTGATAGGAAGCAAGAGGGCGGTATTCTGAAGGGCGTTTAGGAGTGGCATTGGGCAATCCTGTTGTGTTGATAGCTGAGGAACGGGCAAGAGATGGATGTGCAGGGAGATGAGACATGCTGACACTGCCAACCCCAACTCCACCTTCACCTTGTACTGCCACTCCTGAAAACAATGGATTCTGTGCAAGTTAAATGAGCAGGTTTTCCAGAAGGAGATTAATACTACAAAAAGGGCCTTCTCCATTTTTTGCATGACACTTTGGGACTGCTGCTCTAAAAGCATGCTTGAAAAAGTGTTTTGTACCACCATGCTTGCTTGAGTGATGTAACCAAAAGTGCAAGTGTAGTTATGCATAGAGGTCTTGTGCATGTCCCCAGGTTACACACTGTACTGTGTAGGTAAGATGGTAACCTATACAATGTGCCTGTGAACAGATCACCTGAAGAGGGTGCCAGGGTGTTATCCCTAAACACTAAACTGAACTAACCTTAACTGTTCATCATGCTCTGTCAGTAATTATTCTATCTAACTGAATGAGAGAACATTGGCATATATGCAAGAGCTATGTTGTGTATGCATAAGTTGGTTTTGAGAAAACAGTGTGTTAGTAGCTGATATTCATCAATATTTACAAATTATAGGTAAACCTTAAAATGCTTCACTACAGTATTAAAATGTGGGCATGACTGCATAGATTATTGCATACATTAATAGCATAATAATTCATTTATAACAAAATCCTTTGACCATTTTTCCAGAAAAAGTTGAAAGTAAACTTGTTATATGCAATATGCTAGTGCATGGCAAGCAGAATACCAGCTTGAAGTTATACTATAGATATATACACTTTTTAGTTATCTAGATTACCATCTTACTTCTAAATGTATTATAAAATTACCCATCATGAAAAGTTCATCCAATTCACAGTATAGCTCTCGCTATTTGCAGGTTTTTCCTGCAACAAAAAATGCAAATACACTCTGTGAAAAAAATAAAATAAAATGTATATATATATAATTTTAATGTTTCTTACCAATAGGGTTGACTTATCCAATCTTTAACTAAAGCTGTAAATAAATTAAGATTTTAACTATAAGGTTATAAAAGAATTTATGCTCAGTGATAATAAAGTCAGTAACTACAAAATCATCAGTGGCTATCTTGTTTTCTTCATCTTTTTAATCCAACAATTTGCTATTGTATGATGCTACTCTACACATCTCCCAAGGAAGAATAATTCTCATTAACATCTTTATTTAAGCTGTACATTATGAGCTGAGAAGCTGTGTGTGTCTGGTACATTGGTCTTGGCAAATTTACCCCTTGATGCTGGGAAGGCAAAGTTCGTACATGCCATGTCTACTGTGATTTTAGTTCATTAATTTTGCTTGCACAGAGATGACTCCACAAGAGTGGAGTTACCCTAAGGAGTCAAATACTAGTCCTACCTGATATCACCATTTTCCCTTTTCCCTGATTTTCATAAAGATTCTTATTTTCTTTCTGTCTGCTATTAGGATTGATAATAACCCTAATGTCAAAACTAATAATAAATGTAATAATATTAAGAGCATCAGAAAAAATTACTGTTTTCCAAAGAACCAAGGAATGAATATATTCGGTGTGCTTTCCAACAAATCAATAAATGAATATATAAGGTGAGGTCAGGTAGGCCTACTAATTGACTCCTTGGTGACAAAGCACTTGTGGAGCCATCTACGTGTAAACAAAATCCACAAAACAAAACGGCAGTGGACAGTGCAATTACCCAGTGCCAAAAGGTTAAGAATCAAAAGCCTTAAACAGAAGTCAAGTGTTCCTTTGTTTTTGTTTTTTCTTCCTTTTACTGTGTTATGAACAATTAATGCTACTTATGCAATTCAATTATACACTCTAAAAAAACAAACAAAAGACATGTGCAATCAAACAACTTACTAAGTATCTAGGAATATATAATCTAATACTCCCTGCCGACACATACAAACTAGGACAACTTCAGAATAAAGTCACTCATTTACTCATTACTGTGATTGCTGTAGGACTAAACATTGTTTAACAGTAATAAGAAATTGGCAATGTATATATATATATATTTTTTTTTTTTAATAATTGCATAATTTCCACTTAACATCAAACTATTACAGCACCTGAACATTTATAAAAATAATTATACTCTTGATTCTTCTTTATATCACCATATTGGAACCTGCTAAATGAAGAAAAAAAGAAAGACAAAGACAGAGAGAGGAAGAGGAAGAGAGAGAAAGAGAGATGAAGGAGACACGAAAGCAGAGAAAAGGACACAGAGAGTTTAGATATAGATGTGTGGGCACCTGAGTAAGCATCCATGGGTGGCAATAAATACATGTGTGATTTAATCATGACTCACGTATCATGCTTACAAAGACCAAATCATAACAGTTGTCACTTCATAAAAAAAAAAAAGTCAACTTGACTGAATTTTCATTTACTTTCAATATAAAACTCATCGCGAACCCTCCTAAGAGATCCATTTCGCATAGGGAGTACCAAAAAACATTTCCAACACACATTTTCCAGCATCAAGAAACCTCTTTGAATACTTTATGTGACCTTCCGAGTCAAACCAATAGCCTCACCTGGAAGGCTTGAGGTAGATCTAGCAACGCCGGGCACGGGAGGGGGTGGCTGGCTAGGTCGGATGCTCGGCACAGGCCTTTGAGGGATGTCTTTGGAGAAGAGCGGGTCGAAAATCTCATCCTGTGGGGACTCCAGAAAGATGAGGTCTTGGCCGTCCTGGAAGGCAGCAATACATGCTAATAAACATGATGTTCGCAATTCTACTCGTGAGAAATTCACCTTTTTTTCTACCATTCTATTGTTTTCCTGATCAATATTCAATCTGGTGTGAAAGTCATGCATTACTATATGTCAAAAAATGAGCAGCCATATGATATAGAATTTATATGAATATTTACTCTGAACATTAATAGATTCATTTTCCACATAACATATTTCTTGGACAAGCAATAATACTTTAAAAGCAAACCAAAGCAAACATACTGGAAAAAAAAAAAAAAATGAAATCAAACTTTTCCTTTAAAAATGCAGGATATTCACCCAAATGGACCTATAATTTTTTAAAGCATGCAACTAAAGCAGGCAATTATAAAAAAAAAGCATTCACTGGATTAAGCATAAAAATGTAATAAAAACACCAATACCAAAACCAAACAGAAAATGGTTTACAGAGTACAGTAAAAAAAATATATATATATATATCGAAAACTATCAATCAAATCAGCTCAATAAAATAATGCAACTATTTACCCTAAAATGTCCTATGAATCTAGAAAAAAAAGAAAAAAAAAGTAAAGAAAAGAACAAATGGCAACACAAGATCCAAGAGGCCCAATTGGAAAATGATGGAAAAGTGTATTACCTCCTCACCAGACCCCTGATCAAAGCCAAGGTGGGGGCTAGGACTCCTTGTTCGACGGCCTAGGGATGGGGGAGGAGGGGGCAGGGGGCTGAAGGAACGCTGGAACGGGTCAGGGGACTTGGACTGACGGCTGGGTTCGGGTTGGGAAAGGGGGTTTGGGGACGGGTGGGAGGATGCCGGGGAATGGGAGCTCCGAGGGATGGGAGACGCGCTCCCTCCCTGGAGAGCAGATTCATTTAGCGGTGGAGAAAGACTGGTTAGCACGGCAGGAAGGCTCATGGTCATAATGTCCGTGGGGTGAGAGGCAGAGGAGAAAAAGAGAACATTCCCCGCATAGCCCGGTTGAGACGGGGAGGAATAAGTTACTTGGGGAATATTAACAGAGGAGCACAGGATGCTGTCGTCTGAATTTTCAATGGCCTCAAATTCAGCTACGAGAGATTTGTTATCTACAGATTTGGTAAGCTTGGAATAAAAATACCCAGGTGTCCCACCCTTAGAGGAGTACTTAGAAAGAGAGGCAGAGAAAGCTTGACTTGCACCATATCTAGGAAATCCAATGCTACAAGAGGAAGAGGAGGAATTAGAGCTCGGGGGTTCCAAAACTTCAGTGCTCTGCAACCCCTGAGGCAACCTCGAGGAAGGTGATGCATGCCCAGGGGGTACACACGTCCTAGCGGTGGAGGACAGAACAGAAGATGCAAGACAAGTGCCAGAGGAATCAGAAGTAAACTTTGTGTTGCTGGTTCTACAGGCAAAGGCAGGAGGACAATCATTGGCAGAGGAATCACAGAACTGCCTGCGCGTGCCTGACTTGCTACTGCTTCTGGGGGTAGTACAGTAGCCTTTACATACAGCAGAGACGCTGGAGACATCTTTAGAAGGGCGAGAGGGAGAACGTGGTGACAGCTGTATGTGTCCCCGCCTATTTGTATCCAAGACAGAAGAAGCAGCACCATCAACTCGGTTGGCTGTAGTGGTGAAGTCTCTATCATCGTGCAGAAGCTTAGGGGAGCGAAAGTATGAAGTGGAGCTGTCTACAACCTCGTCTTCATCCCCACCACCAACATTGTCATCGTCAAATGAGACAGGGAAACGGTATCCAAAAGATGCCATAATGGGAGGAGGAAGTTCAATGTCTAAGGAGAGGTCAATGAGAGGGAGAGAGGTGAGGCTGGCACTCAGTTGCTGTAAGAGACACACATTAAAAATCTCTTAGTTTCCCACACTCTAGCAGAACATCTTTAAACAATAAATTTCATTCATATTATATCAAGCATATGCTCATTTCATATCGCAGTCAATGGTCCCTGATTCTCACCACTTGCATAAATCAATCATCCACAAATAGTGCATATGCAAGATATATAATCCACACTCCTACCCTTCTGGCATGAATCATAAGTATTAATAATATTCGTGAGACATCCTCCTTCAGATATCCTACATATAACAATCATAAGTAATCAATTTCAATTATCACAAGCACTTCACAATCCTCTCAATATTGATCTACCATCCTCAAGTAGATATTATTGTTCACCAAATCCTAACCAACATTAAAATATAAAACAGGAAACCCATATATGCATATGTATGTGTGTGCATGTTTCATGTGTTATGTATGTATGTGTGTGTGTGTGTGTGTGTACATGTATATGTGTTTTTGTGTGTGTGTACGTATATATGTGTTTTTGTGTGTGTTTACGTGTATATGTGTTTTTGTGTGTGGGAGGGGGTGTAGGTGAGTGGGAGGGTGTGTGTGTAGGTGGGTGCATGTGTGGGTGTCCACACACTTACATACATTATTCTTATTTCAACAAGAGGATGGCAGTAACTAAATCAAACTTACAGCTTAGAAGCAATCCTATCAACCATTTTTATTAAAAGTTGAGAAGAAAATAAAATCTCTATGGAAATAGAGTAGGATTATCATATGGCATATAAACACATTTTAAAAAGAGAATGAAAAATCGACAAAATAATGTTCTATCCATATAAACTCAAAATACATATAATAATCAGAAATCTTACATCAAAACGAGTCTGTTTCTCTTTGTTTCTGCCATCATAACTGATCTATTTGTCCCTTCAACAAATGGGCATGAGAACATAAACCAAAGTAATTAATTGGGTTTTCAGGTTTAGTCGCTCAAAGCAAGTCACTCTAAGATGAACACTTTACAACCATAAGACTGTGCAAATGCTTATGAGTGTTGATTGTGACTGTCAACTATACATGTGTGAGCATACACGCATCTATGCCTGAGTGTATCTGCATGTGTATCTATGAGTACGTGAGACTATGAGCCTGAGAACATGTAACGGCATGGACAGTAATCAAGCAACCTCTAGAATACCAGCAACAGATATGTCACAGAGTGGCCAGAATACTAAAGATAAACAATGATAAAAATATAAATAAATGGGATGGGATGGAATCCTGCAAGCATGGTTCAGTTATAGTGAGGATCACCAGCTTGCTAGACAAGTCCCGGGATTATGATAAAACAGCAGCTGAGGAACATTTGAAGCTTATGTTGGGAGAGGTATCAGCTCCCGGCAGTTCCTTCTGCCACTTTAACATACAAATATTAAGAAAAAAAAGACAACAACTGAGATGGATAAAATGGCAGATAGACAGATCGATAGACAGATGGACAGGTAGAAAAATATTTTTAATTAAATAAATAGTAATGAATACATATATTAGTACATGTATGAGTGTGTGTATGAGTATGAGAGAGAGTGTGTGTGTGTGTGTGTGTGTGTGTGTGTGTGTGTGTGTGTGTGTGTGTGTGTGTGTGTGTGTGTGTGTTGTGTGTGTGTGTGTGTGTGTGTGTGTGCACGAGTGTGTGCGTGCATGCATGTGTACATGTGTCTCTGTGCACGTATGCGTGTGTGTCTGCGCATATGTGTCTGCTCATATGTGTGTGTTCAAACGTTGTTCAACGTGTGTCTGTCATACGTGTGTCTGCTTATACGTGTCTGCTCATACGTGTGCTCATACGTGTCTGCTCATACGGTCTGTCTGCTTCATATGTGTGTCTGTTTATATGTATGTCTATGTGTATGCATGTCTGTACCTATATGTGTATAAGCATGCGTGCATGCAGATCAATATGCTGCACCTGGCCAAATGACAAAATCATCATGAACACTTGATCCAAACAACAAATCGGATTCAAACATCTTTCCATCTTAGACACCCTGCGCTTCATCCCAGGCTCTTGCTTCTAGCCTTGATCTAGGAATAAGATCTGACTATTTCATGCCATCATCAGCAATCAACTGTCCATCTTTCTGTCCTACTCACTAACTTAAACTCTTTAATCTTTTATAGATAGAAAGATGCTACATGTATATACAAAATATAAAATCATCTTATGCATTTTTTTTCTTACTATAAAGTCTCACTGAGCATTATGCATCCATGGCTGTGCAAGCAAATATAGCTGCTGTACAATGCTTTTGCTCCAGCAATGCAGGCAACACAGGACAAACTCACCCCACGATACACATTGCCTTTGTGCATCCACGTTGCTGCATTTATATTAATGGCCAAAAAAGCTGGTATAGAGACTGATTTTTTCAGCTGAAATCATACAAAAACATCATGATGATCAAGCACACACAAAATCAATCAAAATCACAGTGAAGGAAATAGAGAAAGAGGTATAAAGAGAGAGAAAGAAGAAAGAGAAAAGGAAGGGAATCACTCCAAAAATAAAAACATGATGAGGTCAAACAACACTTCATCCTGACTGTCAAAGACCACATGCCTTGAAGCCATGGGCATACAAGACTCCAATTTCATATCAGTTTAGATTCCAGTTAAAAATGTGAGGCCTGCTTCCTATTCATGTTCATCACTAAGGTCATATGATGTTTTTGGGACTTTACCATGTTTTTAGTTCTGTCCTTTCTTGAAAACCCTTAGTCAAAAAACTGATGTTATCTATATTCTCTCTCTCTTTACTGATTGGAAGAAATATATACAGGTTAAGTAAAATTCATTAACAAATATCTGTATCATATATATATATAATTATATATATATATATATATAATATATATCATATATATAACATATACATGATACCAAATATATATACAGTATACCATATACAGTATACAATATATATATATAATATATACATATATAGTATATATATATATATATATATAATATATATATATATACATTGCATATATCATATCTTATACATATCGCATACTATATATCTATATATGCTTAGCTATATCTATATATATACAATATATATATATACATATATATACATATATATAACTATCAATATATATATTATACATATATATATATATCTATATTATATATATCAATATTATATATATATATATATAGCATTTATTAATACATATATATATATTAATATTATACATATACATATACCATATATATCTGATAAATATATATATATAAGTATATAACTAATACTATAAATATATCCTATACATTATACACTATATATATATATACTCTATATACATAATATATAGTAATATCTATACTACATTATATATATCTAATACAATAATACATATATATATTATAAC